CCATCTAATTAACAGAAGGTTTTACGTATTGTATGACCGCTGACCTGGCTTCAAACTCTCAATAGTAAAAGTATTCTTGAAAACGCTAATTTCAGCAGCATCGTTCGATTTAATTATTGCGTCAATGCGCCACAGCTTCACTTGCGTGTCTTGACCGGCAGTAACCAAAAGGGTGGGAGATTGCTCTAAAGCAAACTTTGACACTATTAAAAAGCGGAGGAAAGCAGGACTCAACGGTTAAAGGCTAGCGAATGAATCCAGTCTTCATGACCAACGATTGACAGCACTGGCTTAATGGTCTGGAAAGGCAGATTAGGGCAATGCATATAAGCATAAACCAGTTAATCTACAACGTACCTTTTCACAAAGTGATTCACAATATAGCTCGATTGTTCGCTTAGTAGTGCCGAATGCTAACAACTTGCGACCTTTAAGTACGTTTTATATCCAGCGAGTCCTTTACACATTTATATCTATGCTTAAGTCGAGTCCAGAAGAAATCTTGTTAAAAGATAAAATGACTGCAAACGCAAAGTCAAAACATTTCAAGGGTTGTTTGAGTATGGAGTACAGAAGGTTAACATTTACGTAAGAGCGGTCTCGCACATGCACTGAATGATCAGCAAATCGCAGGTGGCAATAGTGATAATATTATTTATACCATTGAAAAACTGAGCAGACTCAAATAAACTAACCGTTTGAGATCTTCTGCATATCAGAAGCTAAAACAAATGCATTTCCCAACTCAGTAACATCATAGAAATGGGAAACAGAGAATTTCGAATCTGAGTACTCCAACCACCATACGCGTACGCCAGAAGTGGTTTCGTCTACCTAATGAGACAAACAAATTTAGATCACTTCACTTTAACCCATATGTATGGTAAAAGCCAGAAAACAGGTAACGTACCCAAGAAGCAACTATGATAAGCTTGGATCCAGATAACATCCCGCACAATGCCGCGACTGAGCCCCTGAGACCATCTGAGCGGGGAAAGCAATAAGGTAAAGCTTCACTAGCTAGTGTAACCTACCTAAAGTCAAAAGGTAGCGAATGAGAGTATGGGACGCATCAACCTCGTAAAGAATCACATTCCCATCGCCACCGCCAGTAATGAATAGATCAACTGAATTATCATCTGCAAGTATGACGTTGTCTAGCACTGTGTACTAAGCAGCAGTTCATTGCAGAAGAAGCAGCGACTCACTTTTATAAATATACTGTTCCACCAAAGAGACTCGTTTCAATATCGTGATTTCTGACTTGTGATAACGTCCTGAGACTACTTCAATCTCTCCATTGGATGACTAAATGGCAAATTTTGGTTCAGACACTATTGCTGTAGTGCACCATGTCGCAAATGATGATGCCCTTCACACCATCCAAATGAAAGAAGCATGTTTTTTCTATCTGTACATTATGTACAAATCGGATAAATCGAATGGCAAGCTACGACATTTCCAACGCATTCAATTTTGAAAAAGAGAAAATAAGTAAAAGACTATCGCATCAATATAAATACTACTAATTTAAACGAAGTGGGAATCAGGTACAATTGGTCAACAGAAATTTGACTTCAAAGTTTGTTTTTTCGGCTCTACCTACATTCCGTTTTAACTGCTAATGAATCCCATCAGGAGTACCAAGTCAGCCACTGTTCAATATCTACTCACCCCTGGAAACTTCTGTAAAACCACTTGTCCGTCTGATGCATATACGAAATGATCACTGCTACGACAAGCCGACAGACAATGTGAACGTGGATTGACGCCAGCAGAGATAAACAC